TCTCTCTCTCTCTCTCTCTCTCTCTCTCTCTCTCTCTCTCTCTCTCTCTCTCTCTCTCTTGCAGGCATTCTCTGTCTGTTTCCACCCCCGACCATCGACGTTCCGCGTTTATCGAACCATTGCGCGCGCACCGATAACAGTAACGGGGCGTGCTACGTCTTGGTTGGCCGTAGACGTAGGTGGTGGACGCACGGCCGACCGACGACGACGAGGACGACGGCGGCGACGTCGACGTCGCCGAGGACGAGCGTAGCAGATTACCAGCGAAACTCGCCGCGCGAGAAATAGTTCGCTTGCCGACGCAGTAATCAGTCGTTCTTGCAACGTTCCTGAAGAAGCGTGCGCGTTGTGTTGTTATTTGCGTCGTTTGTAAAGTCCGTCGTGAAAGCCATCGTGAGTTCACTCGAGGGAGATTCTACGAGTACAGCTTCGAGGTATCGTTCGAAACTGTAGCAAAACGCTGAATTCAAATTCGCAGAAGTATATGAAATAAATCGAGGATTAGCATCGAGAAGAAGAAGGATTGTTGATCGTTTGTGATATCGCTGGTCAAAGATCCGATAAGCAAAATACCAGAGTTTTAAAGGCGAGCCGTACTTTCGGATCGTGAATCGCGTTCGAGAAAGTGTTTTGAATGTGCGTTGATAGTGCTTCAGGAGTGCAGCTCGAGAAAACGTCGGTATACAGCTGTCTGTAAAAGCGAGCAGACGACACGCAAAGGACAAGAGTCAAAGTATCAAGTAGGGTTTCGGTGTGTCGATCCAGTGTTTTCGTTCACCTGGCCCATCCTCCCTCCGAGAGGCGGAGGGCGGTAAAGCATCGATCGCTCGCCATTTTGCGCGACGGCCGACATCTTTTGCGCGCATCGACGACATCTTGCCGCGTGACATCTTCAACGATACGGAAGCTACAGAGGCTGCAGACCTACATTAAGTGGAAGAGCCAGATTATTCGCGTATATATTTCTTGAATACGTCTCGTTCTCTCTCTTTCTCTTATCGATCATAAACGACCATCATATTATCTGTAACGTTCTCCCATCGCGGAGAAACTACGCAAAATTTCGCATAGTGTGATAAGAAAAGAAACAATTTGGCAGAGAAACAGGAAATAAATCGGAGTCCAACGTCGCGGGAGGAAGAAAAAGTAGTGTCCTTCAAGTCGAAGGTAGAAATCAGCAGGCTGGGAGGTCGGTTGAGTGAGGTGGTGGGTCCCGTCGTGGAGGAGGCCATTGAGCCAGGGGATGCGACCCCGCTGACGGGACCCTCGAGGGAGACCTCGGTTCCTCGAGCACCCCCGCCGCAGCGTGTTACCCCAAGTCCGCCGAGACCACCGCCCGCTACGTCTCAGCATCACGAGAATTCGGGTCACTCGACCCATAATCCGGGACACCAGTCCCAAAATCCCGGGCATCACAACCCGGATCACTCGCCCCACAATTCGGGTAATCCCGGCCACAATCCTGGTCACAACCCCGGTCATCAAAATCATAATCCAGGCAATCCCGGTCACAACCCGGGCAATCCCGGTCACAACCCGGGCAATCCGGGCCACAACCCGGGAAACCCCAGCCATAACCCTGGTTACAATCCGGGTAATCCCGGCCACAATCCGAGTAATCCCGGCAACAACCCAGGTAATCCCGGCCACAATCCGGGTAATCCCGGTAACCCGGGCCATCCGAGCCCCGCTGACCAAGATCAGAATCCCGCTGACCAGCCGGCACAAAATCCTGGCCATCCGACGAGTCCAGGACGAGAAGCTCCTCATCCACACGTGAGTCGTCAACCAAGTCAGAATCCAACCCAGCCGACACAGAGTGGCAGGGAGCAAGCACAACCGAGTCAGCAGCAGCCGCAACAACCTCAACCGCAACAGCAACAACCTCAGCCGCAACCGCAACCACAACATCTGGAGCGTAGCGCCAGCACCATGGGGACAGTATTGTCATTCAGTCCACGAGATCGTCGGGGATCTGTTTACCCGCCAACGGGGCATCCTGCTGACTTCACGTTAAACAACTTTAATTACGAGCAGCTAAACAATGCGAAGAATCGCGAGAACAAAAGCAGCGTTGCCACAGTGGCGCCGGCGCCACCCACGAATCATCCACCGACCAACAACAACTCGTTACAGAACAATAACATTAATCTGAATAACAATGACAACGCGAGGATTATTTCGGAGAAGAACGCCCTAGAGAAAAATTTGAAGAAGCATTCGCTGTTCATAAATGCTTTGTCGTGGAAACGGTTCAGTACGACCAATAATAACAAGAAAAAGCTCGACAACAAGAACAAGAATCTCGCCTTCAGGCAACCGCTCGATAATATACCTATCGTTGATAAAAATAAAAATATACAGACGCCGCAGGTGAGTGCTCATAGAGTGGAAAACTTTTATTCTTTCTCTTCGATAGATGCTTCTTGTGATTCTGTTTCGAAAATTGATAAATTAGTACATTTAATAAATAAAATTTATATACAAAAAATCATATAAAATAAATAAAAAGAACAAGCATACTTTAATAAATTGCATTTTCATACTAAAATAAATGTAAATTCGATCAAATTCAACATCAAAGCTACAATAAAAGTTTATTTAGAAATACGTGTAGTTTTTTTGCTTATAGCAAAATATTTATATATTTTATATTTTCGATAGCATTAAATTAAAAATAATATTATTATATTATTTTATATAGAAAACAAGTTTATCTCTAAATTTATT